TGACCCTGCTGGTATTTACAATACCAGTGGCATAGTTTTCAGAATCATAGCAACTCACAAGCCACCACATTACGACAAACTGACAGAGGAGTGGTGGGCATGCTTCCTAGGCAGCATTTATTGACAGGATAGAACTTGTCCCTAAATTGTTTATAGTGGAGACTAGACCTATAGGATAGTGTTGTTGCTGTTGTTGTTAAGTGCCATTGAGTCAGTTCCAATTCATAGTGATCCTGCTGTATAGGGTTTCCTAGACTTGTAAATCTTTGTGAAAGCAGAAAGCCTCACCTTTCTCCTGAACAGCAGCCGGTGGACTCAAATCACTGACCTTGTAGTTAGTAGATCAACCCTTAGCCTAAAGATAGAGCCACCACACTCCCCATACAGGATAGCAGAAACCTGCTAATGATTTGAAAATATTCTCAAAATCACACAAACACACAATCCCAAGTTAGAAATGGGACAAATGTTGTCTAAAATTCTGCCATTCGCCAGTACTTTCTTTGCAATAAGAACATGGATTTCTTTGGTTCTTTTTTTAAATGTAAATATTCCTGGGCACAGTTTTCCCTTAAATCAAATAAGATGATGAAATACATAGGGACTCCCAAGTTGGCTGGTGGAAGTAACAAGAAGAGGCTTGGATAGGACAGAGGCCCTCTGTACAGCAAAGAAGGCCAGGAATGCTATTTTATAACCAACCCAAGGTCTGTTCCAATTCTTTCAAAACTAAGACTGCATCCCCTCAAAAAAAAAAAAGCAGTTGTCATTGAGTCAATTTTGACTTATGGGGACACCACGTATGTCAGAGTGAAATTGTGCTCCTTAGATTTTTTTTTTTTTTTCATGATCATATAGTCATCAAGTTTATTATTTCCAATAGGTTGCCATTTTATGAGGAATGCCTAAGACTAATGTTTCTCGACATGCAAGAGTTAGTATAAATCACTATAAATACTGCTGCTTGGAAGCAGTACAACTGCTTTAGAGTTTTAAGACTACAGATTTTATTATGCAAACCTTACTTAGTGTATGTTAAAATCAGAAGGTTCTGAACAGCTGGTTAGGAAGGTAGCCAAGATGCAGGAAAGATGTCTGAGCCTCCTTTTCAAGGGCAGCCAACTCTTGAACTGTAGGTGCCAAAATATCCACATGGCCTTTGTAGTTTCCACCACCAGCAGCCCTTTTTTGACCATAGGTAACTTTCCCATCAAATTCATCAACTGGAACCTTTATATCAGGGTCAACCTGAGAAATGGTACAATTCAAGTGTTCCTCTATCTCAGATAACAACTGCATTTCATTGTACCATATGGTACAGCCACCATCTTCCTTGAGTCTTGTGTTATAACACCCCTTTCCATGGCTGCAACATACATGGTACCAAACTTTCTCTTTTTCTGTTGCCATGAGAGAAATGGCCAGACCCATCCTTTCAGCTCTTCCTACTCTGCCAATTTGATGCACATAGTTTTGCTTTTCATCAGGCAGGGTAACATTTATAACATAAGGAACACCATGGATATCAGTTCCTCTAGCTGCCACATCTGTGCAAATCAAGAATCGTACATCTCCTTTCTTGAATCTTTCCAAGTTTTGCTTTCTCTCATGAGGCTTTCTGTCACCATGAAGACAAACACATGAGAACTGGTGTCCTTTTTTATCAGGTCCTCCTCCTTGTTGTATAAAATACTGCTCCAAGTTATCACAGTCGATTTTGGTTCTACAGAAGATAATTGCTTGATCCATTTTGTGTTCCTCTATTGCTCAGACAGTGTACTCCCCCTTCAGGATTTTAATAGCTTCAGACCACATTTCCGAACTGGTAGCACCAGGTCTGGTGTTATCTTTTGCATGTACTCCATCAGTTCTAATGTGGTTTTTCCCAAGCCTTTCCCAGAGTCTGTCAGTTTTAGGATTCACTGGGACAACAACATGATGTACAGTATCTGGAACAGAATCTTCTCCTTTTAAATCAACCCAAGTGGAAAAATGCATTTTCTTCTCAGATAGTTTCTTTACATCAAATGAATGCAAAGTAGCAGAGCCAACAGTCACCTGAAGTCTTTTCCCATCAGAGGTAATTTGAGGAATCTGATTGTGGATCCTGTTTATAAAATCAGAATAGCCTTGAGAAAGAAGCCCATCAGCTTCATCCAGGACCAGGAATCTAACTTGAGATAAGCTCAGCTTTCCAGTTGACACCAAATCATCTAATCTTCCTGGAGTGCCTACAACTATATCTACCCCATTATCCAAAACAGAAAGCTGATCCGAATTATCAGCAGCTCTCTTAATTTAGGATTCTCAACATATTTCTTAAACTGCTTGACATTGTTCAAAGTTTGTTCAGCTAACTCTCGGGAGGGTTCAACGATGAGCGCTTTTGGAGCATTGGGGAGAAACTTTGTTTTTGCCACCTGTGCATTATCTATGTGCTGCGATTTGGTCATATAACCATCTGGTGCTCTGGAAACAGCAACAAAACAATCTTTTGGTGGAAACTTAAAGTCTTCTTCACCAAAGTTGAATTTTAGTTCAGTATTCTTCAAAACACAGGCAGGAAAGAGGGCTTGGTTTTTTACATGTGGTGGTATTTCAAATGCCAGACCAAGGTCTTTCCCATTTTTGGCGAACTTGACCTGCCCTTTTTTCTATATCAAGGTAACATTCAATGGTATCATGCATGGTGAATTCCTCTCCATAATTATCAAACTGTTTATTATGACATTTCTTTCCTGTTCCACCAAAGCCAAATCCAAACTTGTCAGTACCTAGGTCTAAGGATGCCTGCATGGTAGACCACCCAACTCTGCATAACCCTTGGTCATGACAGGATACTTCATAGTAGGGTTTCCCTTTCATTAATCCTTTAGTAGCTCTACATCCATGCCATTCTTTTTCTTCTCTGCTTTGACAACAAAGACCATCAGATCCAATTGCAAAAGCAGATCCTCTATCATATGAGTTCATTTGCCATTTGTTGAGCACTGAAGCACCAGTTTTAATTATTGTTTTTCCTTTCTTGCCTTCCTGTTGATCTTTCAGAGTTTCATAAACTATCTGAATAACTGGAATACTGAAAGCACCAGTTTTTCCACTTCTTGTTTCTGCAGCCATAAGTACATCACCTCCTCCAAGGATCAGAGGGATTGATTCAGCTTGGATATCAGTTGGGAGAAGCCAATCCATCTCTTTCACAGCTTGTGCAATCTCAGGTATAACACCCATCTCAGAGAAGGCAGCCATTTTCACACAGTTCTTGGCGACTTTGCTCCACTCCTTAGGATTTTTAATGGCTGTCTTTTGGGGATGTAGATTACCAGGCCTTTCTTCAAAGGCACCTCTGAGTTAAACTCAAACTGTCAACCTTGCAGTTAGCAACTGAAGCACATTAACCATTTGCACCACCCAGGAAGTCTACAGAGAAGTATCTCTTGAACGAGAAGCAACAGGACCCAATGTCAGCAGATGTGGATTCCAGGTCCAGCTCCACTACCAACCACCTGGGAGAATTTTATAAATGATTTCACTTCTCTGGAGTTGGTTCACTCATCTGTCCAATACACAGTTGGATTCATTCATTGCTAAAGTCTTATCCAGGTCTAAAATTCTCTGTTTCTTATGTCTCTATCATTGGGATTCAACAGTGAACCAAACAGCCCAAGTTCCTTGCCCCATGGAGTTTACATTCTAATGAGGTCAGCAAATGCTAAATACATAAGCACACACAGAGACATATATGCCAAGAAGAAACTTAAAAACAGAGACTATGAATTGAATTGTATTCCCCCAAAAAAAGATATGTTGAAGCCCTATCCCCATACCTATGTAGGTGAACTTGTTTTGAAATGGGGTATTGAAGATGTTAAGATTAGTTCTGTTTTCCATATTTAAAATAATATTTTGCTTTTACGTGCAAAAAAAAAAAAAAAGAGAGAGAGAAAGAGAGAGATCATCTATGTTAGCACGCAGGCTGAGTCTTGAGCCAATCTGAATGATTTCCTTATGAAAGAGAACCGACTCAGAGATACAGACAGAGATAAGCAAATACACCTATAAGACTAGAAACAGCAATACTATTTACCAGAAATACTATTCTTCCCCCAAAGCAGACAGTAAGAGCATAATTCTGTCAACTTCCTGAATTCCGACCCCTAGCCTCCTAAACTGAGAGGCAGTACACTTCTGTGGTATAAAGTCGGTCACTATGTAGCATTTTGTTACAGAGAGATGTGAGTACTGTTTTAGATATGTATTTAGGGAAGTCCTTTCCACACAGGAAGCATTTGAGCAAAAACTGAAGGGAGGGGAAAGCCGTGCCAACATCTGGGGAAAGGACCTTAGGTGGCACCATTCAGATTCTCACCTGTGCGGTCATCTCTGGAGAGCTGAGTAAGAGTCTACCTGCCACCCTCGTCCCAGAGGGGCTCACCTGACAGTACAGATGTAGGTGCCGGAATCCCTCTGTAAGGCCGGCAGAATCCAGAGAGCCCCGTCCTGGACCCACATTCTGGTTTCTTCATCTCCTGGGACCAGCCTTCCCGAGTCATTCTTATGCCACATTATATTGAGGTGGGGGCTGGCTGACCGTGCCTGGGGGCACCGCAGGACCACAGGCTCCTCTTCCACCCTGAAGTACTTTTTGAAATGCTTGCCACGAAATTGGCAGTTTCTTGCAGCCACTGAAGTACAGAGAGACCGAAGTCATGCATTGGTTACAAAATAACAACCAAACCAAACCCATCACCATCATGATGGCACGTGTGTGACAGAGTAGGACTGCTCCATAGGGTTTGTTTAACGATAATCTATATGGAAGTAGATTGCCAGACTTTTCTTCCAAATAGCCTCAGAGTGGTTTTCAACCATCAACCTTTAGGTTACTTCTTGTTGTTGTTGTTGTTGTTGTTGTTAAGTGCTGATGAGTTGGTTCCTACTCATAGGGACCCTATATAGGGCTTCTGAGGAGCAGCTGAACCGCTAACCTTGCAGTTCAAACAGACCTTGCAACCCAGTGCATTAACCCGAAGTGCCACATCAGGTTTCTAATGAAGCACAAATTGTTTGTACCATCCAGAGATGGATGCTGCATTCAAGCCTACCCAAATCACAAAACCTCTCTGGATCTCCTGACCTGAGCCACTCCATCAGGGGACTATCAGACACAATGAGGAGCTGCACCCTAGGGACCCATTCACCCCCTGTCATTTATGACTTCCAATTTTCAAAAACGATCTTAGGGCTACTATCATTTCCAATTTATTGCAGAAAAAGTAAACTCAGGTTCATGTGTTGAAGGAAAATTGATTTAAAAAAAAGGCCAGATTCTTCACTTCTTGACTCCTTGTCATTAAAAGTGCATCCAAGTGTAATTGTTATCAGGATTAATGGCGATTGTCACAACTATAAATGTAGAAGAGGTGTAACTAAAAAGGGGAGGAGTTAATTTGCCATTTCATGAGCAGAGCGTCCTAGGACCATCAAGAGGGAAGAAAATGAGAGGAGCGAGGGATCCTAATCAGAAAGGCAGTGACAACAGAGACAGTGGCAGAGGTGGTGGCATAGAGAGACAGAGCAACAGAGGTCTACAGGCCCATGGACTGAGAAAGGCAGTGGGCCTGTGGGCAGGAGGTTGGCTTGCAAAATGTGCCCTTTGGACACTTAAATGAATATGTATTTTCAATTTGGTATGTGTACATAAAAAAGGGGGAAGTAATAGAGATAAATACTGCTGGCTGAGGGTGCATGGAGGTGATTGTAATCATTGATTTGCTGAATGTAAAACTGATGATCCACCCTGTAAGCCTTCACTCACTCAATATACAATAAAAGCTTAAAAAAAAAAAAAAGTGGATCCCAGTCCAAGTTCAGACAGAAGAAGAAGTTGGTAGTAGCAAGGTATGTATTTAAAATCCAATGGCAGCTTTTCAGGACTCCCCAGAGATTCCCCTCCCTGTCCCCCCACCCCCCGCTTCCTCTGACTCATCACTCTGACAGGAATGACCACAGCTCACATGTCCCATGGTGCCAAGAAGAGGTGGCAAAGAGAACGATCTGTCATCTGTCAGGCACAATTGCTCATACCTTGTATTTTTGGGGGGTTTTCTTGTCGTCGTTGTTGTTGTTGGGTTTTTGAGAACTAGATACACAATCCCTGGTGTGGTATTAGAGGATAAGCACTGGTCTGCTAACCACGAGATTAGCAGTTCAAACCAACCAGCCTATCATTATGAGTCGGACTCAACTCGACAGCACTTAATAACAACAGAATTTTTAAGCCACAGACAAGCCATTTCCCACCTGACCACCTGACTTCCTACCTGTGTGTTCCTCGGGCTGGATGGTGAAGGCAGCTGCACCCACAATCATCACGTATAAGATGAGCATTGTTCCAGACTTCTGGAGGACACAGGAAGCAAGAAGCTGAGGTCCAGCACCCAGTATCCTGGAAGAGGAGAGAGAGGGTCACTAGGAACCAAAAACCTCCACAGACAAAACTCTTAAAGGTCATCCCAGGGCCAGGGCACGGAGACCTTAGTCTAATGGAAACCTTCTTTCCTAATTTTTGTTTTTGGGTTTTTATATAAAAATTCAAATTGTTTAGATTTGCTTGTCCATGGTATATTCATACCACATGACTTATGAACAGACCATGAGTCAAATCCCTGGAAGTCTTAGATCCTTTTGTATTGAGGTGTCATCTCCTAAATGTCTCTCCCCAGAACTGGTCCTTAGCACTCCGGCTCCCACTGATGTGACGCTCATTTCCTCTTCTCCTTCAGCCTGGTGAGGTCTTCTCTGAGCACCCACCACCTTTCCACCCCTTCACTGTACGACTCTTCTGCATCATCAACAAGAATCAGAGTATGTTTTGTTCACAATTATAGCCCCAACTCCAACTTGATGAATGGATGGATTGAGCTCAAAAAATCCTCCTGTTTTACTCATTAGGAAACGTTCCCTCTAATCCCTATGGATTAGCTCTGATTTTACATGCAAGGCATGCAACTCTGACATGCCTTGGTGGATTCTGTACACTGTTAACTCTGGTTATAGCATTCCAGGAGAAAGAGCAAAATACGTTCCAAAAATGAATAATTTATACAAATTCATGAAGTGTTCCTCCCTGCAAATCTCTCCAAGACTGAAGTAGATGCTTTCTGTGTCTCTCTATGGTCCTTCTCAAATGATAGCATAATTGCCTATTTCATCAGCTAACCATTGCTGCAATAATGTTGCCTAACACACCACCTCCAAGTCCAGAGGCATAAAACAATAATCATTTCTCTTTGCTGCCAAGTCTGTGGATCAGATGGAGGCTGGTGAATCTAGATTAGGCTGGGATAGGCTTCGCTTCAAGCTTCAGATAATATTCAAGTCAGCTCCTCCTGTCTCCCACCCTCCTTGGACCAGCGAACTTCCTGAAGAATGTTCTTCTCATGATAGTAGAAGCACAGATGGTATGAGCAAAAGTACATAAGGGCTCACTCAGAACTCACTCACTCTGTCTGCCCACATTCCATTGAACAAGTTCCATGGCCAAACCTAACATCAATGGGGTGGAGAAATAGAACCCACGTCTGGCGGGAAGAACTTGAAAGTAATGTGGGGAGGGGTAAATAAGTGGGCAGCATCATGCAACCTTGTTTCTTGTTTGGCTCCCCTATCACTGGCGAGAGCGGGAAGGCCAGAGTCCCAGTCTTGTCCACAGTCTTCACTGGCTACCCAGTTTCGGGCTCTAGAAAGTACTCAGGAAATAGAGATTTGGGGCTGGTGCGTAGATCCGGGTGGGGAAGGAGGGAATATATATATGCTGGTGTGGGTTAATGCACTGGACTGCAAAGTCGGTTTAAACTACAAGGTCAGCAGTTTGAGCTCACCATCCGCTCTTTGGAAACAGCGTCACTATGGGCCGGAACCAACTCAATGGCACTTTATAACAACAACAACATATATATATTTAAAACCTAGCCACTATCCCCAATTTTCTTGAAGGAATTGGAGTTGTTCTCTGCCCTTAGATCAGACATCATTCTGAATGGTTTACAGTAATCCCAGACAGTTCTTATAGGATTGGCAAACTGAGGAGTTACACACTACAAACCCTCCCTTGTCAGCCAAGAACCACCAGAACCTGCAGGGTCAGCATTGCAATCTGAGCACCCCCTTCTGGTGGCAAGAAGGCATGGGAGAGGAGGTGAAAAAACCTGAAATTTTCCTTGTAGCTGGGTGAGATTTTCTCCTAAACTCTTCCTGTTTCTACGTGGACTTTGTCCTTCATGCATTTCTGAAATACAAATATTTCCTTTAACTTTACCACTGACCTAACTCTCAGGTTTGTCAGGCTATGTGATTAGCATGCAGGTCACATAAACAATCAAATTCGTTGGACATGCATCAGCTTATCATGTCCCCAACTGAACTGGGCACAGCCAGATGTATGTATTCTTCAGTAAGGATCTGAAAGAAGTAGGAGTTATAACCAAGACCACAATGGCAGAATAAGCTAAGTCAAGGATGCTGATATAGAACCTAGTTTGAGGGTAATAGCTACCATGCTAAATACTGAACATTTGTTCTTTCATTTAATTCTCAGGAAACAGTACATCAATTGTACAGATGCTATAATAGAGGAGATTACAGAAGTTAAATGGCCAAGATTCTATAGCTAGTAAGCAAGAGTTGATATTTAAACCAACAACTTGCAATTCAAAACCCTTACTCTTCCAAAGTATGCTATTCATGGCTGCTATTTTCCTCCTTCAGTATTAACCCTTCCTTTGTTGTTGTTCAGCGCTGTTGATTCAGTTCCAACTCATATCAACCCTGTAAAGGGTTTCAGAGGAGCAGCTGGTGGGTTTGAACCATTGACCTGGCAGCTAGCTGTCTAGAGCTGATCCTACTACACATCACAGCAAGAGGCTACAATCATCCCTGCTTCTCTAATAATACAGCACCTGGCTTTTAACTAGTCACACAGCCACCTCAAATAAACATTTCTCATCCTCTCCTACAACTAAGAGTTGCCATGTGACAACATTTTGGCCAATGGAATGTTATTGGAAAATGTTTTTCTCTAGTTGGCTTCCTTCCTGCTGGCTTGGTGTGGATAAGATAGTTGAATTATTGCAGCCATCATCTATGTCTTACTGTGGTGGTTCATGACAACAGAGAAAAAACTTGATTCATCATTGGCTTTGTGAAGCTTCCCACCACCCTGGACTATCTTCTGTTACATGATTAGGCCTCTTGTTACTCACATGCATACCCAATCCCAACATATTGCTTTTCCAGAATTTATGAAAGGATCTGAGGAAGGAGCTCTGCTGGTTCTTTCAGGTGTTGTGTTCTTACTTGTCCTTATCTAGTTACTCAACTGGATTCAAATTGTTTCTTTCGATTGACTCTGAAGACAGGGTGAGCTGTGCGGCCTCTTCTCAGAAGAAAACAGCCCCATGTTTCATCTAATGTCCTCTCAGTTTCAAGCTTTCTCAAATACAACTACTCACATTCATTTCAGATTATGTGAAGGCTCTTAACCCGTTTAAAATTACTTGAACACCAGAAAATCAGATGTTATTCACACAGGTGCCAGTACCACCTGAAGCATCCAGAGACACAAAGCTGGATGAAATCTCATTTAAATCTAGTCCAAACCCGTCTTGTTAGAGCAGAAAGTAGGTCTGGAGTTAAGCTACTTCTCAAAATCACACAGCTACGCAGAATGAGGCATGAACGATCAACTCAGCAAGGACTCGTTCCAACAGGGCAAAATCTTAAAATGTTTTCCTCCTCAAATAAACCCCTCTCTCTTACCCTCCCATCTCCCCAACCAAACGGAATTGTTTTCATTTCCACTCTATGGACTTTGATAAAATTACTGCTTAGTTGTGACCTTTTCAGGAAGGAGTGTCATATCACTAAACTACAAACACAAAAACTAAAAACTACAAACATTGATTGTTCAATAATCAAAACGTAAAAAAAAAAAAAAGGACTAAATCAAGGTTACCTTATGGGACATAGAAAGCTATTGGCATGCCTAGAGGAAAAAGAATTCGTTTCAGGAGGGAAGAGTCATAGTAGAACACCATTCTCTTTCCCTACTTTATTGAAATGCATTTTTAAAACACAGACAGCTTAGCATTTCTGCTGAATTGAACTTCTTACTTGTTCTTGTTGTTGTTAGGTACCATCGAGTCAGTTCTGATTCATAGAGACCTCTTGCACAACAAAACAAAACACTGCCCGGTCCTACACCAACCTCACATTCATTATACCCCACTGCTGTTGACACTGTGCCAATCCATCTCATTGGGGGTCTTCCTCTTTTTTGTTGAACTTCCACTTTACCTAGCTTTATGTCCTTCTCCAGAGACTAGTCCCTCAAGATAATATGTCAGAAGCATAAGAAAAGAAGACTGGCCATCCTAACTTCTAAAGAACATTCTGGTTGCACTTCTTCCAACACAAATTGGTTTGATCTTCTGATAGTCCATGGTACTTTCACTATTTATTCTTCGCAAACATCGTAACTCAAATGCATCAATTCTTCTACAGAATTCCTTATTCAGTGTCCAACTTTCACATGCATATGAGGTTGAAAATACCATGGCTTGGGTCAGGCACCATTAGTCCTGAAACTGACATCTTTGGTCTTGAACCCTTTAAAGAGGTCTTTGTGCAGCAGATTTGCCTATTGCAATACATTATTTGATTTCTTGACTGCTGCTTGCATGAGTGCAGATGGTTGATCTGAGCAATATGAAGTCTTTGACAACTTCAATCTATTCTCGGTTTATCTTGATGCTATTTACTGGGCCAATGATGAGGATTTTTGTTTTCTTTACATTGAGATGCAACCCATACTGAAGGTTGTGGTCTTAAAGCTTCATCAGTAAGTATTTCAAGCACTGTGTTTTCAACAAGCAAGATTGTTAGTAAGTCTTCCTCCAATCTTAATGCCACATTCCTCTTCATATAATCCAGTTTCTCGGATTATTTGCTCAGCATACAGTTTTAGTAAGTATGGTGAAAGAATACAACCCTGGCACACACATTTCCTAACTTTAAACTATTCCACGCCCCGTTGTTCTGTTCAAACAACTGCCTCTCAGTCTATGTACGGGTTACTCATGAGCACAATTAAGTGTTCTGGATTACTCATTCCCCGAAATGTTGTCCATAGTTTGTCATATGCCACACAACTGAAGGTCTTTGTTTAGTCAATAAAGCACAGGTAAGCACCATTGTGGTATTCTCTGCTTTCAACCAAGATCCATATGACATCAGCAATGATAGCCCTCCTTCCACATCCTTGTCTGAATCTGGCTTGAACCTCTGGCAGTTCCCTGTCAATGTACTGTTGCAGCCATTTTTTAATTTCT